TATATAGCTGATTATCTGTATTAGAAAGAAAGTTTTGTATAGCTGATTATCTATATTAGAAAGAAAGTTTTATATAGCTGATTATCTATATTAGAAAGAAAGTTTTATATAGCCGATTGTCTATATCAGAAAGAAAGTTTTGTATAGCTGATTATCTATATTAGAGAGAAAGTTTTATATAGTTGATTATCTATATTAGAAAGAAAGTTTTATATAGCTGATTATCTATATTAGAAAGAAACCTTCATATAGCTGATTATCTATACCAGAAAGAAAGTTTTATATAGCTGATTATTTATATTAGAAAGAAAGTTTTGTATAGCTGATTATCTATATTAGAGAGAAAGTTTTATATAGTTGATTATCTATATTAGAGAGAAAGTTTTATATAGTTGATTATCTATATTAGAAAGAAAGTTTTATATAGCTGATTATCTATATTAGAAAGAAACCTTCATATAGCTGATTATCTATACCAGAAAGAAAGTTTTATATAGCTGCTTATCCATATTAGAAACAGAGTATTTTTTATAGATAGATGTATACCTCCGTACAAAAAGCCCGCTGTTCAACCAACTCATTGATTCGTTGACTTGGCAGTAGTTTAAAAGGGACGATGTCAATATTATCCCTCATTAAAATATTTGTGGGTTACTAGCAGTTAGGCTTATATCGTCTAAGAAAGTGGGTTGTTACACTAGACGTTTAAATAGGGTTATAGCTTACCTATATCTTATACTCGTTCAGATAGACAATAGATAAGCCTAGATTAAAATATGAGCAGATAATGACACTGTATAAGGGAAAATCATGTGTTATCGTATATGTTATGTTTCAATATGTATGATTAATCAATAAATCTTCTTTAATTGCGTACTCTGCTTTTGACGTATTTAGTTAACTGCATAATTTTGATTTATTAGAAATGGAACTATTCGTATTTGTTTTCGGATATTCTCGTGACTGGAGTAACTGCTATTCTCTATTACATGCCACTTCTTTTTTTTTAGAACTTAACCTCATATACTCAAAGTTAAACGCTCCCAGTGACACAGCGGTATGTCTGTTGACTTACAACGCTAGAAACTGGGTTTTGATACCCGTAGTGAGCGTATCACAAATAGCATATTGTGTAGTTTTTTTTCTGAACTACAAACAAACAAAATCAAAGCCAAACATCTCGACCTGATTGTCTATATTAAGATGTATTAAAATGTAATACTTCCAAATGTACATATATACCTGAGGCATTAATAACAATTATTACTAAACAACTTACAAATAGCTTGACAGGGTTTTACGTAAGGATTTCATCTAAACGTTTCGACTGCGTTTTGTTTAAGGCTGGTTGGTTGGTTGATTTGTTGCTAAGCGCAAGGTATACAATGGAATATCTGTGCTCTGCTCACCACGGGTATCGAAACCTTAACCTTAGTATTGAAAGTACGCAGACTTACCGCTGAGCTACTACTGGAGGTTTTTATGTAAAGAATGTTATTAAACAGCTTTACCGTATTTTACGTGAAGCATTTTACTAAACGCTGTATTATTTTAAATGAAGAATGATATTAAACAGCTTTACCGTATTTTACGTAAAGAGTTTTACTAAACGCTGTATTATTTTAAATGAAGAATGATATTAAACAGCTTTACCGTATTTTACGTAAAGAGTTTTACTAAACGCGATATTATTTTAAATAAAGAATGATATTAAACAGCTTTACCGTATTTTACGTAAATAGTTTTACTAAACGCGATATTATTTTAAATGAAGAATGATATTAAACAGCTTTACCGTATTTTACGTAAATAGTTTTACTAAACGCGATATTATTTTAAATGAAGAATGATATTAAACAGCTTTACCGTATTTTACGTGAAGAGTTTTACTAAACGCTGTATTATTTTAGATGAAGAATAATATTAAACAGCTTTACCGTATTTTACGTAAAGAGTTTTACTAAACGCTGTATTATTTGAAATGAAGAATGATATTAAACAGTTTTATCGTATTTTATGTAAAGAGTTTTACTAAACGCGGTGTTATTTTAAATGAAGAATAATATTAAACAGCTTTACCGTATTTTACGTGAAGCGTTTTGCTAAACGCGGTGTTATTTTAAATGAAGAATGATATTAAACAGCTTTACCGTATTTTACGTAAATAGTTTTACTAAACGCTGTATTATTTTAAATGAAGAATGATATTAAACAGCTTTACCATATTTTACGTAAAGAGTTTTACTAAACGCGATATTATTTTAAATGAAGAATGATATTAAACAGCTTTACCGTATTTTACATAAATAGTTTTACTAAACGCTGTATTATTTTAAATGAAGAATGATATTAAACAGCTTTACCGTATTTTACGTGAAGCGTTTTGCTAAACGCGGTGTTATTTTAAATGAAGAATGATATTAAACAGCTTTACCGTATTTTACGTAAATAGTTTTACTAAACGCGATATTATTTTAAATGAAGAATGATATTAAACAGCTTTACCGTATTTTACGTGAAGCGTTTTACTAAACGCTGTATTATTTTAAATGAAGAATGATATTAAACAGCTTTACCGTATTTTACGTGAAGAATGTTATTAAACATTTTGATCTTATTTTACATAAACAGTATTGACCGTATTTAACGTAAATTGTTACTACAAACCTGACCGTATTTTAGGAAAAAAGTGTGACTAAACAGTTTGATTGTATCTTACGTAAAGAGTGTTATTAATTGGTTACGATCTTGTAAAAACTTAGAGTAGAACGTAAGGCATATTTGTATTATATAAAAAAAATTAATCTCGGTATTTTCTTTTTTTCCTCTGGTTGTATGTAGCTTTCTCACAAGCTATGAGAAGGTTGCTAAGGAACGATATTCTTTTGTGTCGAACAGCTAGTAGTGTTCTCCATATTCTTCCTATTGCTGGCCACTATACGTTCCTTCCAAAGTATCTGGAAAGTCAGTTTCAGGTGAACCCTGCCAAAGCCAACATGATTTCTGGTGAGTATACCTAGCCGTTTCGGCATAGGAGGGATTTGACCTTGACCTTGATATTATAGTCGAGTTTCTTTATCATTATATAAAGGCTGTAGTAAGTTTTACCATTTAATTTTTTTTTGTATTAAGCATATTTTCCATTCTCGTTGTTTGGTGTAATAGGATAATATATTTTGATTCTTCGGCCATTTTCCGTTTTATTTGGAGCACAGCGTTAGTGAGAGTTCTTGCAAATATTAAGTATAACATATACTGAGATAGTTTTTGCTGAAACATTATCTAAAATATTACTGTTTCCTTTTACAATATTGTATCATGTTGCATTACAATATTAGGTCTGTACCATTATTCTAATATTTCTTTTATGAAGTAGAAGGGTATAGATGGCGCTATTATCTAGCGTTGTAACACAAGTTTAGTGTTTCAAGTGAGATGTTTGTTTGTTTGTAATTAAGCATAAAGCTACACAATGGGCTATCTGAGCTCTGCCAACCACGGGTATCGAAACCCGGTTTCTAGCGTTGTAAATCCGCAGACATACCGCTGTGCCACTCAAGTGAAATGACTTATTAGGTTTGACTAAGATTAAATTTGATTTTGTGTCCAGTATTGTCTCCTAAATACTTTTAAAACTGATAAAAAGAGTTTGGTGAAAGTATTTACTTCACACTATTCAAAAATGTAACATCCAGCATGTTACGTCGAAAGTTTCTGACCACGCAAAACCTGAAGCTAAATTAGATTTTAATATATATATTCGCTCAGTGTTTCAGTACACCAACTATTTGTTTTTAATAACACTATAACACGGCGACATTTTCCAGAAAATATAACAGAAAAATCTGTTATAACCGCCCCCCCCCACTGGCACAGCGGTATTTCTGC